TAGTCAAGGAAGGTCCTATTCAATGAGAAAGTGTTGTAAATCTAAACCAAATGTTATACTTTCATTAGGATTTATTTTCAGGATTCCGTACATATTTCATTCATTAAGAAAAAATGAAGAAATTTTAGGAAGAGGACAAGAAGAAAAATATACCAGAATGAACTGCTTAACACTTGAAATACGAAAGGAAAGCACAAGAATGCTTTCCCATGGTTCATTACATGTGAAAAACTGAAAAAGCTTATTCCAATCATGATATCCCTTAACAAGAAATCAAAGAACTAACTAGTAGAGCTGAAAGTAACAGTTGAGAAGAAGCAAAACAATGCTGTAATATGGGAATGAGAATTTAAATGATGGGTTTAACCTCTTATATTGTTGTTCCCTTTAATTTTCTTCAGTTTCTTCTTCTGCAAAGCTCAAGGCTTGACAAACGGATGGCTCCACTTCCTCGTCGTTGCAAAAGTATGATTTCTTCCCAACCAATTCAACTACTCTTTTCGCAGGACCAGAATCCCGGGGGCTCTCTTTGGTGAATCGAGAAACCCTAATCCTTGGAAGCAAATCAAGAAGAATAGACTCTGGTGACTTCTCGCCCTCGACCAAACTACTATGAACAACAACCTCATTCGGAATTTCCCAACGCTTTTTCACTCGACTTTCAGTGCCTAAATCCTTGTTGTCTATGACAGTTACCCGTGAGTTTCTGGCTGATAGAGAACGCTTCTTATCGCCCCTATTCTCAGCCTTACCATCTTCTGGCAAGGATCCCTTTCTTATTTCTGATGCAGGATTTGTGCTCTGATTATACCGGCTCGCGACAAATCTCCCTGCTCTTAATGGCTTAGCAGGGATGGACATCTCACCATCTCTGAACAGTTTCTTGGGCTGAATTGAGTTCACCATTCGACCCTCTTTCGTCACAGCCTTCTTGGATCCAACCGTAGTAACAGCCTGCCTTGATAAAACTCGAGATTTTGTGATAGTTTTTCTTGATTCATGGCTAACACTTGAACTCTTCCCCCTTTCTTTACTCACCTCTTTCCCTTCATCAATATCTTGTAACTTGCAGAAGCAAGATTTTCGCCTACTTTGTGTAGGCTGAATAGGGGTGATCATTTCTTGCTTGCCGAATTTCTGGGATTTCGCGGATCCAAATATCTCAGAAGGCCCCATGCTCATTCCCCTTCGTGCTTCAGCATCAATCTCTGCAGGTCTCAAACGAAGCACTCTACTCTGTATAGGCGGAACAGGGTTGGTCATTTCTTTCTTGCCCAATTTCCAGGATTTTGCGGACCCCAAAATCTCAGAAGGCCCCATACTCATTCCCCTTCGCGCCCCAACAACCAAATCTGATGGCCTCAAACTAAGCCCCTTCCTCTGAATCCCAGTTCTTGCTCTCATCGATGAAAACTGTTCGATCTCTTTCTTCACTTCTCCAGTTTTAACACGCTGTTTCTGTTCCATAAACTTCGCCGAGATCACTCTTTCTCTCTTTTCCACTGTTTTCACACTTCTCTCAGCCTTTTCCAGTTTCAGAGACTCTAATCTTGAAGTCAATCTTCTAATTTCCATTTCAATCTCCTCAATTTCCTCATCAAAACTCTTCAAATTCACCTTGTCTTCAAAACTTTGTTTAGTATTTCCCCTAGTTTTTGAATTCTCCATAGCCCCATTCGAATTAACCTGCTTGAAAGGAGTTACCACAGATCTGAGAGAAGAAGCAACAGAAGAAATTGGGTTCTCAAACAGAGGACCCTCATTCTCTTTGCTCGAAGAATTCGAGTTCAACGACTCTGTCGAATTTAACAAAATCGGCTTCAGAGGACTCCAAGAAGCCTTATTCCCCGAAAATTCTTTAAGATCTCCATTATCAAAGCCGACATTGTTCCATATCTGAAGATCAGCAGAATTCATGACTTCTTTATACTGTAAAACACTCATTTCTGTCCCTCCAAATGAATTTCAAGAATTTTCTGTTAAACAAAAAACAAGAATGTTGGGTTGATCAAATCTTGGGTCGTTCTTGATTTGTTGTTGTAGAGTAATTATCGAAGTTAATAGAGAGACGAACGAATTTGCAGGGTCTGTATTACGAAAAATGTTTATATATTTTTGAGATTTTCGACCGTTGGAGAAAATTAAGCGGTGGGATAGTTCGCTCAATCGTGGCTGTTGGTTAATAAACGGGCTATAGTGGGCGCTCTGATTTGACTTACTTGCGACAAATTGAGCTCCCGTTTGATT